TCCTTGGGCTGGTAAATTATTATGAAAAGTTCATAGGTAACCTGGCCTCCGTCCTGGCACCTGTACATCAACTCTTATAAAAGGATCGGCCTTGGAAATGGTCACATAGCCAAGCCACAGCTTTCAGGGAAGGAACAGCTATCATCCTCTATGACGTTGGCACACTATGATCCCAAATGAGATCTGGTGTTGACATGCGATACCTCCAAAAATAGCATCTGGGTAGTATTAGCTCATAGGTGGCCCAATGGAGAGGAAGGCCCAATAGCACACTGTAACTAAAATCCCCCATTCTTAATTCTCATAAATATACAGCAAGAACAGGACAATCACCTGCTGATAAGTGGCAAGTAACAGTCACACGACACGTGCCAGGCAACAACCATCTCCAATAAGAGACAAACTAAACATCACCCCATGATATTCTGTAGAGTTAACGACACTGAATCCCCATTAATTAACAACCTGGAGGCTACCATTGACCAGAAACTGAACTGGACTGGCCATATGAATACTGTTTACAAGAGCAGGTCAGAGGCTAGGATTAATGGCAATTAACTCATTTCCTGTTCATCATTTACAAGGCACAAGTTGGGGTATGATGGAATGGTTTCCAGAAGCCCAAAATCAGCCAGGACAAAGTAGACTACTTGATTGGCACCACAACGACCATCTTAAATGTAAAAGAGTGCAAGAGAGACAACAAAGAAATCAGCTTCTGAAACAGTGCAAAGGATAGTGGGGGCTTTACCTTCTGGACCTGCAAAAGAAATACAGGGAGGAGGAAGGTGAAGCAGCACAAAGTGAGCCCAAGAAATGAGCTCTAAACTTTTGGGAACAGAGGCAAATGGTGCAGAGCCTCCAAAACCTGATTCAGCAGCACAGAAACAGATCAATAGTGACATTACAGAAAAGTTATAAGTTGACTGGTTATTGAGCTGCAGCTGTCTAGGACTATGTTTCAACTCCAGTAAATTCTAAAAATGGAAGTTGCTAAACTAGCAAGAGAAAGTTAAGAATTTAAAGCCACAGAAGAGGAAGCTGATAAGTGGTAAGTTTGAGGGATTTCTATTTTGTACATTTCCATTTAGAGTAAACAGTGTAAAAGTAAGGTTTAAATAATTCAATCAAATCCAGACAGAATGTGCTGCATCATCCTGGTCTGCTGTGCGACACACTTTTGGAATAATTTTCCTGAATGCAGATGAACTGGGGAATGGGAATGGTCTTCCAAGGTAGAGGATGAGGATACTGGGGAGGAAGAGGCTGACATTGTATAGGACACAGCTCAACTGTTTCAGGTGCTACAACCCAGACAGAACCTCACTGACACCTACTTCCAATAAAAGAGACCTGAGTCTCTGAGCAGACAATAGTTGACTGTTAGATGGCTTAGTCATGATCCCCAAAGCTGACTGACATTGTGGGGCAATGTTCAGCCTCTGCTGGTTTCATTTTTGTTTCCTTTTCCTCTATGTAAATAAAAGTTCACATTTATGTTTGTATTTGTCTGATTGTTTGCCTATATGTGATGTTCCCCGACTAGACAATGACAAGCCGTGAGTCTACAATGGACATTAGGGATCGAGTAGTGTTGATTTAGAAGTTGTTTCTACAGGATATAGTTCAGGCCAGGTAAAGTGTGTGGCAAAAAACTGAGAGAACTGCGGATGCTGGAAACCAGAAACGAAAACAGAAATTACTGTAAAAGCTCAGCAGGCTTGGCAACATCTGTAGAAAGAAATCAGAGTTAACATATTAGGTCTAGTGACCTTTCTTCACAACGTGTGTGGCATGTTGGTTAGACACTGACTAGGGTAAAAGGGGATGGTTTATGCAAGGAATTGTGTGTAACCGGTGTGGCGTTGAGGCTGTTGTGCCATTATAATGCTGATGAGGGCCGATGCCAGTTTGCCAAAGTTTGTCCAGATGCACAGTGGTCTTTCAAAGATGGTGCAGGCAAGGATACTAGTGTTTTTGCACATACCTGCTGATCAGGGAATTACTCTGGGGATGGCACATGGTAAGGCGGAGCAGCAATCAGGTGAGAGAGATGCCATTCCTCAGATGGTGATGGCTAGCACGAGGGGACATAGCTTTAAATTGAGGGGTGATAGATATAGGACAGATGTCAGAGGTAGGTTCTTTACTCAGAGTTGTAAGGGCATGGAATGCCCTGCCTGCAAAAATAGTAGACTCGCCCACTTTAAGGGCATTTAAATGGTCATTGGATAAACATATGGATGATAATGGAATAGTTTAGGTTAGATGGGCTTCAGATTGGTTTCACAGGTCGGCGCAACATCGAGGGCCAAAGGGCCTGTACTGCGCTGTAATGTTCTATGTTCTATGCTGCAGGGAAGTCAATTTATGCAATGAGTTTGGTAAGATAGGGTGAGAAAACTTGCTAAGTCTTGCAGTGGGGAACCTCACAAAAAAATAGTGCTATTCAGACTTTTTTTTAATATTCACTCATTGATGTGAGCATTGCTAGCTGGGCCAGCATTTATTGTCCATTTGTGTGCTGCCTTCACGAATCACCAGGATGATGATAGTGGGAGATTCAGTGATGGCAATGCCATTGAATGCCAAGGGGGGAGAAAACAACATTCAGCCAAGCATGTCAGATCCTGCCAATTAAAGTACCAGTTGATTATCGCCACTCTCCTGATGTTCTCCTGCTGATCAGCTACTTTCTAACCAAATAAATAATTATTCACTTTCACAAGCTTCAAGCTTGGCTAACAGTCTCTTTATGACAGGCCTAATTAAATATCTTCTAGAAGTGCTTATAACTAAAATCCATAAATATTGCTACGTTCACGACTTCAATTACAAAAACTCAATCAAGCTAACAGACATGACATTGCCTTTATGAAACCATGCTAGTTCATGGATCGGCTGAAAAATTAAGATAGTCAATCACCATCTTTAATTGAAGATCACAAATTATTTTCCAACAAAATATTTTATTACTTGTTCGTGGGATTTGGACGTCACTGACTAGGCCACAATTTATTTTCAATCTCTAATTGCACTCAAGATGGTGGTGTTAAAAACAAAAATTGCCAGAAAATCTCAGCAGGTCTGGCAGCATCTGTGGAGATAAATTGGAATTAATGTTTTGGGTCCAGTGACCCTTCTTAAGAACTGATGGTAGCTCGGAAAATGTTGATTTTAATGCAGAAGATAGGGTGGAGGGAGGGGTTAAGGAGTAAATGATAGATGGAGATGCAGTCCAAAGACAGAGAATAGTTGGACAGTAAAAGGAATGGATAACAGTCAGCCTAGGAGAATGAACTGCTGCTAATGTGGACTATTAGTGGCTAACAATGGGTAGTGTGTGCAATAGCAGACCATGTTATAACAAGGCCTGGTGTGTGGGGCTGGGGTAAGCGCACAGGAGAAGATGCCTCAATCGCCAAAATTATTGAATTCGATATGGAGTCCAGGATGCTATAGAGTTCCCAAGCAGTAAATTAGGTGTTGTTCTTCCAGGTTGCTCTGAGGTTCACTGGAGCACTGCAGCAAGCCTGAGATAGAGATGTTGACCAGGGAACAGGGTGGTGTGTTGAAGTGGCAGGCCACTGGAAGCTCAGGGTCTTTTTTGCAGACAGAACATAAGTATTCTGCAAAGCGGTCACACAGTCTATGCTTCGTTTCCTCAATGTAGAGGAGACCATGTTTTGAACAGTGAATGCAGTAGATTGTGTGAAGTGCAGGTAAAGCACTGCTTCACCTGGAAGGTGTGTTTGGACCCTTGGATACTGAGAAGGGAAAAGACTAAATGGGCAGGTGTTACATCTTCTGCAGTTACAGGGGAAGGTGCCATGGAGATGTGGGGGGTTGCTTGGAGTAAAGGCAGAGTGGACCAAGGTGTCCCGGAGAGAACAGTCCTTGCGGAACAAGGGAGGCGAGGTGAATACATGTCTGGCGGTGGCATCTTGCTATAGGTGATGGAAATGGCAACTAATGATCCTCTGGATGTGGATGCTGGTGGGATGGTTGTTAAGGACAAGGGAGACCCAATAACTGTTGTGGGAGGGAAGAGAGGGGATTAGGCTGGTGTGGGAGGTGGGTCGGACACGGCTGAGGGCCCTGTCAACTACATTGCTGGGGAATCCTTGTTTGAGAAAGAAGATGGACATTTCAGAGGCCCACAGCTGAAGTTGAAATCATCAGAACAGATGCAGAGATGGAAGAACTGGGAGAATGGAATAGAGTCTTTACAGGAAGCAGGGTGCGACGATGTATAGTCAAGGTAACTGAGAGAGTTGGTCGGTTTGTAGTGGATATTGGTGACCAGCCTATCCCCAGAAATAGAAACTGAGATGTTGAGGGAGGGAAGGGAGGAGTCAGAGATGGACGAGGTGAAGGTGAGAGTGGGGTGGAAATTAGAAGCGAAATTGATAAACCAATTCCGGATGAGAGAGGGAAGCAGCACTGATAATATCGTCAATATATGGGAGAAAGAGTTGTGGGTTGAGGCCAGAATAGGACTTAAACAAGGAATGTTCCACGTACCCCACAAAGAGACAGGCATAACTGGGGCCCATGTGGGTACCCATGGGCATTCCAAGGTGCTGGTGAGCTGCCTTCTTGAAATGCCACAGCCTATGGAGGCTAGTAACATCCACAATGCTGCCAAGAAGGGAATTCCAGGATTTTGAACCAGAGATAGTGAAACAGCAGTGATATACTGTCAAGTTAGGAAGGTGAGTGCTTGAAGAAGAACTTGTAGATTGTGCTCTCATGCATCTGCTGCCCTTGCTATACTAACTCGTCCATGATTTCCAAGTTTTTTCTCTCACCTTCCTTAAATAGCTGAGTGGCAAGTACAATTTACCACGCTAAATGAATAACTCCAGATTGTAAAAAAAAAAATGTAACTTTCAAAAGAAAATGCGATCATATCTGAAGGGAAAATTGGTGAGAATTTACCTCCTCTTGATGCAGTAATGCTTATGTCCTGTAACATAAGAAATTAGGCATGAACATTCTAGCATTGAGGAATCCAACATTTATTACAACTAAATATTATGTACAAACATTACATCGCTCAGGCACATGTCTGGGCTAGTATTAAGTTGTTAGGTTACAACAGAGCACCATGCTTCCAAACAGAGCTAAGATGGAACATGGAACCTTTATACTCTCAGGTCACATCAATGTTACAGCAATGATTTCACGAGCATGTCTCTTAAAGGCACACTGACATACTGATCGTGAGACACTACACAACAGAAATATTTGCAGAACAAGGAAAAGGCCATAAAGTGGCAAGAGGTGAACTGTACTACAGACAGCCAGCACAAACATGCAGGGACAAATGCATTTTTCTGTGCAACAGCCAAGCGCTTATACTGGGGCATCTCTAATTTTCTTTCCTATTTTATTTAAAATATTCCTTAGTGAAGCATTAGATTTTTGATTGGTATAAATCATCTAGTACAACATAGCATTGTTGCATGTGTAAATTTATTTCAATAAATGTACATTTTTGAAGGCTGTATTATGGTAATGTGCTGAGCACCATGCTTTATATTTTTATTTTTATACTTCCATCCAATGATAGGTTACTTTAATTAAATTCTTAAACTGAAATATTTTGGATTCAATTCTATTAGGTATTGATTGTCTAATCTGTGTAAAACAAGTGACTACACAAACAGGAACAGTTCTGAAGAAGGGTCACTGGACCCAAAACGTCAACTCTGTTTTCCCTCCACAGATGCTGCCAGACCTGCTGAGTTTCTGTAGCAATTTCTGTTTGTGTTTCTGTTTTCCAGCATCTGCAATTTTTCTTTTAGAAACAGGTGACTAACAATAATGTGTTATTGGTCTATAGCTGTTTAAATCCAGATAGGCTTTCTCTTTGCAATGAAACAGAAGAATTTTCATTTCCATTTCAAATTTCAAATTTCCATTTCAAATCCATTTTCTGAAGAAAGGGTCTAGGCCCGAAACATCAGCTTTCCTGCTCCTATGATGCTGCTTGGCCTGCTGTGTTCATCCAGCTCTACACCTTGTTATCTCAGATTCTCCAGCATCTGCAGTTCCTACTATCTCTGATACAAATTAAAATATATTCAGTTTAGAAAAAAATAATTTATAAAGAGTAGTCTGAAACTAAAATAAAAATTAAATCCACAAAGTACCAAATGTTTAGAGCATGGCCACTGGTAAAGCTGAGCTAGCATGGCTATGCTCTACGTATGTGTTATCATCCTTTCAATCCTAGGTACAGCAATTTAAGATATTTCCGAAAAAAAAAAATTTTGTTAAAGCTTTTTGTCTTGGTCTCAACAGGACAATTTGCAAGAATACCAATGTAAAGGAAAAACAACATTTATACTGGAGGAGAACAGAGTGCTAGTTGAATGGAAAGTGGACTATGATTACGAGAGGCATTACCATGGATAATCACCAGTTAGATGATGTATACTTTCAATCTTGGAATCACTGTAATTCAGTCAGTTATTTTCCATTTTGTAAGTGTTTTGGTGTAGAAGGAAAGATTCACTTCCGTCATCTGTCTCAATAGGGATGCAGTATTGCTTTTATAAAAGATGTTATCTATAGTCAATTTTCATTAACTGAGGCACAGACTGAGTTATAACACTATATGAGCTGAGTTCCATCATACACCCATTTTAGATTACCACTAAGGAACGGAAATTTCCGAATTATACTAATGCCTTTATTGCTGCAAGCTCATTTTCAGAAATACAATATTGCTTTTGCTTCAAGACTGATTAACATTATGTACAATGGCCTTTACAAAATACTAGAAACAAAATTCAGAATAATTTAAAAGTACAGCCAATAAACAAAAAGTAAAATTTAACATTGGAAGCCATTTTATACTTGCATTTTTATTAGTGACAAATGTAGTCTGTTTAGATCAAATTATCCTGCACATTTTCAGAAAGTACAAACAGCATTTTGATGGCCATATGCAATCTGATGGAAGTGATTTAAATACTTAGTTGTATTGAACTTGTTATAGGATAATATTAGACAGAAGGGTGATTACAATGTCCAGTAACACTTCAGAATGCTTTATTAAAAGACAATAAAGCAGTTAAGGAAAACATGTTTTTTTCTTCCCATTGGTAGTTCAAATAGCCAAGACACCACCCACAAAACAAAAAGTTTGAAACCTACAAAAGTAAGCAAGTTGATCTATCTACCTCTGAAATAAATTGAGTATGCATTAATAAAACAAACACTTAAAAATCTAGTATTCAATGCCATATTTAGCTTTCGGATACAATGTTGCTTTATGGATACATGGGACATTTATGTCAACCTCATAATAACAAATTATTAATTTGTTAAAGTCTTACCATATAAATGTCACTGTGGTCCCAACTATTGAAACATTAAAGTCCAGAGAAATCTGAAGATGTCAGCAAGAAGAGACTCTTCCGGCTCGGATTTGGGATGAATGATTTGTCATAGTCAATTATCAGTTATTATTAAGATTCGCTGGGATAACCACTATATTCAGGATCTTTTGTGCAGCAACGATATTCAAGGAGCAAGCCACACTGCACAATTGGTTAACTGTCATGCCACATACATATCAGGTATTTTATTATTCAAAGGGCAAGATTTAAGTGCACTAAGTGATAGCTTGTTCACAAGTAACACTATTGCCGGAGTCAGATGGTCATGTATTCAAGCTCCATTCCAAGAACTTGAGCACTTAACTAGCAGACACTTATGCAGAATTATCAGGCGTGTAATTAAGTGGATATAATGTTAAACCCACCTGCTTTGAAGGTGGATGTAGAAGTACACAAGGTGATACTTTCCCAGAATCCTTCAAATAACATCTCTAAAAATTAAATAGTTAGTTATCTCATTGTTATCTTGAGGACTTTGAGTAAAATTTGGCTGCCACATTTGCCAATGCAACAAGTAGCTAAATTTGAAACCAACTCATTGTTTGCGAAGTATATCTCAGTGACAAAAAAGACATCAAATAAATCCAAGGTTTCATTTCCTTCTTTTAGTATCATCCAACATTGCATGAATCTATTTTTAAACAATACTGTGACCAGAAAAACCAAATAGAACAATCTCTCTTAAGTACAGATTTTATTCTGGACTGAAACTGTGTTGTTACTGTTCATAATTGTCACATTTGTGTTGTATCAAATTAATAGTTATATTCAAAGTCAACGTCAGTAAACAAAAATTATTTAATACAGTAACTTATAACTGGTGAAGATACTTTTGAATTTTGACATTTAAATTAATGTTCTATACACTGTACAATCTTAAAACATTTAACATCATTAAATTAAAATATTAACTATTGCAAGAATTCATGTGGTGTCAGCTGGCCTGCAGTAATATAACAATTACATTCAATTGATCTTGGCTGATAAACATTCAATTTACAGCACCATCTTTTGTCATCATTTACTTACTCTCAGTGGCTGATATTCTGACTTCCAGTCAGTTGTTCAGCATTGCTATTGGTCAGTGTTAAAAATGGTCCTTATACTACTGTGTGCTTATTAACTTTAGAATACCATTTTATTTTAGATATTGATCTTTCTCAGAGGGGGTATAAATGAGGTATTTGATACTTAAACTACTCTTGGAAACATAGGTCAGCATGTTTACTGCTTTAAAGACAGGTACCAATTTTTGAGTTGAGTGATGCAAGTATTTTTACCTGTATAACTCAATAATTCCAACTAATTTTGAGCAATCAAATCAGGCAGAGTTAAAACTTCATCTTTCAACTCCAGCCCTAACTCAGAAGAGATCTCTGTTGCTATAAGCAAACAAACTGTAAAATGAATGTGGGGAGCTTCCGTCTAATTCCTAGTTCCCAATAGCCCAAAATACAAAACTGCTCTTAATTAATGCCTTCTCAGAAGCCAAAGGATGACCGATCGTCAATTAAAGATCATAGGTCAAAGTAGTTCAATGCAGAAATAGCTGAAGCACATTTCTGAAACAGAGTGACAGAAGTTGCATTTAATTGAGTTATACTGACTGGAGGTGAACAAATAAGAAGTGTACCATCTAAATCCTTAACTTAGATTGAGGAACAAAAATTATTTTAAAAAGAAGTTAGTTTTAGATTGTAGACATTGAAATAACCAGTCTTAGTTTTGGTTACAGACTCTGGTTATCTTCTTAGTTATAAATATGATATGCAGAATTATGTTTCAAACAATGGTTTATGCCTGGACATTCCACAATGCCTACAAATCTTCAAACATTAACTCAGAAAAAGAGCACTCTGTCAAGAATCACAATTCTACATCACATATTCGCAGTCTAGAGAACTGTAGCAGTATATGATGACAGAATATACTTAATCAACTGCAGTTTCACATTTTATACTAGACTTTTAAGACAAAACTGATTGACACTACAGAACCTATGAGTGATGCTCAGCAGCAACTCACATCTCAATAACAACTTGCCGGATAATTTCTCAGTTTTTTTGCAATAAGTTGATTGTCATTACATGTATTCTTGATACGAGTATTATATGTAGTGAATGTGACAAACACTTTTCCAGCAAATATAAAAATAGCAACAGAAAGATTAGTTAAGGCAATTAATTTTTTAAACCTTCGAAAATAATAAGCCACAGAAACATTGCCGGAAGTATACTGTAGCTATCAGTTTTAATGAATCCCAATGTAGCTTGCTAATCACTTTACATTTTGTATTAACCCAATAAAGCACACTTTGCCACAATGCTCCAAAGCATTAAAGGTTAAAGAGGGGCTTTTGGATGGTGCACATCAATCAGCCGCTGAAGCATTCTTCAACACTGCATAGCTTTATTAAAAGAATTGAAAAGATCATGATAGTTCACTCATGTCAGTGAGAATGTTCTACCCTTTTTCTTAAATGAAGAAAACATCCTCCAACATTCTGCTTTCTTCGAGTTCTTCATCTGAATCCCCACTGTCTGTTGGAGCTGTTCCAGCCTTAGCAAGATTTTGATGTTTTCTGCCGTGCATTGTGCTGTTTTTTCTTAGTTTTCCATTTCCTTCCTTGATGTGCAAATTATGTTTTTGTAAGGAAATTGGACTCAATGCATCCACCAAATGAACAAGGGAGGCTTCATTGCTTAAAGGTGTTGGAAGAAATGAAAAAATACGAGTTAAATTGTGAGTATTTGAGATTCTTTTCTTCAGAAAAATATGGATAATGAAAGAAACACAACATATTTTGCTCCCTAATGGGAGCTCTTTCATTAATGTTCAAATCACATAATTCAAGATCACAACTTAGTATACATGATAATAAACTGCCAATGTTATGATGTTCCATTTATTTTTAGGAATCTATTTCATGTAGATGTCAGTGTATAAATCAATCTTTGAAGCCTAAAAATCCGTGTAAAAATAGGGATAAACTTATAGGCTGAATATTGAAGTGAATTGCCAGTATGGGTGTAGGTGGTCATCATCTCTGTCATTTGCCACCTAAATTATGCTGTGTGGTGGTAATCTTAAACTCAACGATTCTTTGCAACACAGCCCATATCACCTGTTTGATCACGTGCACATAGCTATAAATTACCAATAAGGTTTCTGGTTGAACAATTGAGGCTGATTACTGACACAAGTAGCATATTTCATGGTTGAAAGGAGGTAGAGGGAAAGGCCATGAATTTATATGCCGAGTACATGCATAAACATGATTTCTGGAGCAAAAATTTGGAATTGCCTTATATGTTGGAATTTACGGTAAATATTTTCTAGAATTAAGTATGCACTTCAGTAAATGAAATTAGAATGTCTGACAGGTACAGCCTTTTAGTTTTACAATTATCATTACCGTAGATTTAAAAATATTATAATAATGAATGAAAATATTATCTGATAGTTATAAAATTTGTTGAGTACAGAAGGTAACCTAACCTGAACTATTTCTCTGAGTTAAAATAAGTTGCGTGCTTGTTCTTAACATCAGCAGTAACAATAGCACCAGCACTCTGATGAGCTTCTCCTTATATTTAATTTAATCAATGGATGCATTCTGTCTTTTCAGAGTCATAGAGTTGTACAGCACAGAAACAGAACCTTCTGTCCAACACGTCTATGCTGACCAGATATCCTAAATTAACCAAGTTCCTTTTGCCATTTTCTTCAAGCATATTCATTCATGCTTCTGAACCTCACCCTATAAGACACTGGACACAACAATCTTTTCTATCCTTTGGATCCAATTCAGCAAATTCCCACCAACTGAAATATGTAGGTGATATTTTGTCTCCTTCTCAAGAAAATATCTCCACACGTTTTCACATATTCATAAGCAATTTGAGACTCCATTTCATGATAGATCACTTCTAAAAGAACAGTCTTTAAACATCTTCAATAAATGAATATGAAATTCCAGTCCATACGTTATATAGCTACACTGCCTAATGCATGGTTATTCCATTCACAAAGGAGGCCTGTATAACCCACATTTGAACTACACTCATGGCTTACAGTGTCTCTCTCATTCATGAAAGAGACTATGCTGTTTAACATTTATTTGTGGCAGTAGATTCTTCACCTGGCAAATAAGAAGTGCAACACGATATATTAGTATTTAGACTTAAGTAATAATATCAACTTATTTCACCAATATTAGTGTTCAATGCAATAAAAATGCTAAATAACCTCTGCCAAAAGAGAAATTAAGGTCATATCTCAGAGTAGACAAGGTTAATTTCATTAATTTTTTCATAAGACTTACACAATTTCACAAAACAGCTGTTCTACTTTTAGACAGTAATTGTTCATTATAATAGATTTTTTTTAATGGATCAAAAAATTTAGTTTAAGAAAATAATGGCAGTCATCGTTTGTTATAAAGAAACTCCAGATGACAACCGAGAGCTAATGTTAATGGGTACAATCAATCCAGCAAAAGCACGTAAATCAATGACACTTCTGTCTCTGTTAAAAGAGACTGGGGATTAATATTAAGCACATGATGTTCCAGGTGGAGTGTGCCTATATTAATATGAGATAGTAGTCAACTGAAACTGAGTGCAGCTGTTATATAAAATAATTATTTCATACCCTGGAGCAGTAGGTAAAATAAATTGCAGTAAATAGGATTTAATTCTGCATATTATTTCATACGGCACAGTACACCAAAACGGCTCAGTTTAAAGCATAAGGACAGCACCTTCATTCAGCAGTCTGTTAGAGAAGTTCCTTTTCTAAATAGATATTATACTTTGGATGAAAAGCACATTGTACTCACAAATGTTTTGGTTCTCATGAGAACAGGTAACATAATAGTTGTTACTGGACTAGTTATGGAGATCTGGAGGCAGGACTACAAATCCCACCAAGGCAGTTTGGAATTTAAATGCAATTAGTTAAGTAAATCTAAAATAAAAAAGCGAGTATCAGAAATTATAACAGTGGAACCACGAGATACTGTAAAAATGCATCTGAATCAGTTATGTCCTTTAAGAAAATATGATGTCCTTATCCAGTTTGGCCATATGTGACTCCAAACCTTCTGCAATATAGTTGATTCTTAGCTGTCCTCTGAACTGGCCTAGCGAGCCACTTGAATTCAAGAAAGCAACTTACCATGACTATGTCAAGGGAATTAAGGAACTGGCAACAAATACTCCTTTTGTTGGCATTACCCAAATTCCAGAAATAAAACAGTGGAAAAACACTTCCCTGTAGTTACTCAGGATGATGTGAATTCCATGTTATAATTTTAAAATAAAAGTAAAAGAAGCTTGACTCTAAAGGAAAATGATTTATATGTCAACCCCTTCAGGACAAAGCGTGAGGATATTAAAAAAGTGATTTTAAGCCTCATGCTCAACAATGATCCAGACACTCCAACTGTGGCCTACCTTTGAGCCAGGAAGCCTGGGTTCAATCCCATCTGCTTCAGAGGTGTATAATAACATCCCTGAACAGGTTAAGGAGAAGGTATCTGCACCCTAACATATTCAATGGCATAAAATCTCCAGAATCAAAATGCTTGGGGATAAAGACTGACTGGAAACTCAACTGGCCCAGTTAGATAAATACTGTGGCTACAATAGCAGGGAATTTGCACCAAGTTACTCAACTGGCTCCCATTGCCTGTTCACCATCTAAAAATCACAAAGCAGTGATGTGAATAATATATCTGCTTACTTGGATGAATGCAACTTCAATAACACTCAAAAGACTTTACACTATCCACAATAAAACAGCCAACTTGACTGGCACTGAACACACCACAGTACACTTTCACTCCCTTTCTACTAAAATTGTATCGGGCTTTGGTGAGACCACACAAGAAAGGAGATACTTTGGAAACAGAACAGCAAATGAGGAAGGGCAGCAAGTACCTGAGAACACCACCACCTGCAAGTTCTCCTCCAAGTCACACTTCATCCTGACTCAGAACTATATTGCCGTCCCTTCACTGGGTCAAGATCCTGGAACTAATTCCCTAGCAGCATTGTGGGTCTACCTACACCCAAAGGGCTGCAGGGATGGGCAATAAATGCCAGCCTAGCCAGTGAAGAGCAGATCCATTTAAAACAAAGACAGATTAGACACCAGCATAAGAAAGGTGTCTAATGATGAGGTTAACTAAAATAGTTGACTGAGAGAGGTATAGCTTGAATTAATAAATTTTCACTCAGGGAAGGCAGGTGCAGCTTAGAGCCAGGTCAGCCAACCCTGGAAGCAGTTCTTAGATGGCCACTGGAGTGGGTGATGCTACTTAAAAAGACTGTCTTCATTCTCTGAACAAAACTCACCTAGCCTACACATCCCTGAACACTATGGACAGTTTGGCGTGGCTATTCTGCCTAGCCTGCACGTCTTTGGACTGTGGGAGGAAATCTGCGCAGATGGGGGGCGGGGGGGGCAGTGTGTGTGTGCGGGCTCTACACGGACGGTCAGCTGAGGCTGGGATTGAACCCAGGACCCTGGTACTGTGAGGCAGCACTGCTAATCACTGAGCCACCATCATGAATGGCTGTAGCCCACCTGCTGGTTGACCCACGATGCCATTATGGAGGGCATTCCACTGATACTATTGGAGGAACAGCGATACATTTCCAAATCAGGATGGTGAGTGGCTTGGAGGGGAGTTTGCAGGTGGTGGTACCGTTGTCTTTTTAGATGGAAGTGGTCATGGGTTTGGATGATGCTGTCTAAGGAACCTTGGTGAATTTCTGCAGTGTATCTTGTAGATAGTACACACTGCTGGTGTACAAAATGATCAGAGGTATAGGTAGAGTGGACAGCCAGAGACTTTTTCCTAGGGTGGAGGTAACTATTACGAGGGGGCACAGTTTCAAAGTGAGTGGAGGTAGACATAGGGGAGACGTCAGAGGTAGGTTCTTTACTCAGAGAGTGGTAGGGGTGTGGAATGCATTGCCGGAGAGGGTACTGGAGTCGGCCTCATTAGGGGCATTTAAGCAGCTACTAGATAGGCATGTGGATGATAGTATACGGTAGGAGTGGAGGTTAGATAGACCTTAGGTTTAGGGTAAAGATTCGGCGCAACATTGTGGGCCGAAGGGCCTGTACCGTGCTGTACTGTTCTATGTTCTATGTCTCCCAGCGGTTTTAGAAGCTTTTATGCTCACTGGCGTTGTGTTTGATCTACTTTAAAAACAAACTTTTCAGCACCCACAAGGACATCAAATACATGAACAGCCTCTTGAAATGATCAAAGTGTGAACTAGAGTACCTTCAGCTTCTGAAACTCAGTCATGCATTCATAATGACACCAGCTATAATAAAATCTCTTAGGAATTATTAACTTTTGAAAGTGGAACAGGTGGTCTTTTTTAGCTAACACATCCTAGATGGCCTGTCAATCAAAGCAGTCCTTTTTTCAAAAAAAAGTTTTTCTAAAACTACAGCCAACAGCTTTCTTTTCAAGTTTAAAGAGCCGGTGATTAATAAATGCCTCACATCATGTGCGGGATCTTGTGGAAGTGATGGGGGCTCACCAGTTGGCTAGACAGCCAATGAGACACGCATTTTGCCGATGTTAGGGAAGGCCCACCAAACCACAAGGCAGTCATGCAATGGAGAGGTCAGCAGCAGGTCCTTTTCTAGAATTAAGTCTCTAGTTTGCAGCTCCAT